GTATCCACGTCGCTCTTGAGGTACAGCTTCAGGTTGTGGCCATGCACCCGACGGGTGCGACCGCCAGTATTGGTCAGCTCGACCTGGCCATCCGGCAAGATGCAGGCGAGCGAGTACTCGGATGGCCAGGGTGGTCGTGGTACAGGAGGTGGAACCAGCTCGTAGTGGTCTCCACCTTTCTTCCGTGCAGGCTTAGCAACCTGCTGCTTCGGCCGCCACTCCTCCTTGATCTTTTTGTTCGGAGGCGAGGCCGGATGGAGTGGCGGCGAAGGGGTGAGATGAGGGTCCTGCAAAAGGGGAGATGCCGAAGGATACACGACATACTCATGTACCTGGTCAGAAATAGCATGCACAGGTGTGACAGTAATCATAGCACAGTGATCGAATTCAGTCACAGAAAAGGTAGCTTGTTCATTTCCAGCACGCAGGATCAGTTTACCATCATGCACATCAATAAGTGCCTTGGCGGTGGCAAGAAATGGTTTCCCTAAAATCAAAGGCACATCCACATCCTCATTTATATCCAGAATAACAAAGTCAACAGGATATGTGAATGCACCCACATTAACAAGCAGGTCCTCTATGATACCCCTAGGATGCACAACGGAACATCAGCTAGCTGAATGCTCATCCTAGTAGGGCTAAGTTCACCTAGGTCTAGCTTCTTAAACAACTTATATGGCATGACGTTTATGCTAGCGCCTAGGTCCGCCAAGGACTTGCCTACATGCATGCTGCCAATAGTAAGAGGGATAGTGAAACTCCCTGGGTCCTTGCGCTTTTCGGGCAGCTTGTTCTGCAGGATAGCAGAACACTCCTCGCTCAACAGCACTGTCGAGAGATCCCCAAGTTTCTTCTTGTTGGTGAGGAGATCTTTCATGAACTTTGCGTACTTCGGCATCTTCGACAGTGCCTCCACAAACGGTATGCTGATGTTGAGCTGCTTCAACATTGCCATAAACTTGGCGAACTCAGTCTCCAGCTTGTCTTTGTGTAGGCAAGTGGGGAAGGGAAGCTGGGGCACATGCTCCTTAACCACTGGTTGTGGCTTGGGAGCAGGGGCTTCCTTCTCCACCCGCACTTCTACATCATAGGCTAGAAGTGCCGAAGCAGGTAGTGGCTCCTCCTGCCTGGCCAGGGCAGGATCAGCTGAGATGGTCTTGCTGTTCCTGGTAAAAATGCCTTCCAACTACTGGTGCGGCTCCCGTGGATTGGGGATGATGGTGGCAGGTAGAGTCCCCGGGGCCCGGGTAGTAATTTGGCGAGCTATGACACCCACCTGGTTCTGTAAATCTTGCAAAATGACACCCTGGTTCCTCTGTCCTGCCTCCAGAGAGGCTATGCTCTGGTCCACCCTCGTGAAATTCGCCTGGCTGGTGGTCATGAATGCCGCCAAAATATTCTTCAGCTCGGTCATCTGGTTATCGGGAGCTGGGGCTGCTGCTGGCTCGGCATACTGACGCTGGGGCTGCTGGAATGGCTGCCCCTGCCTAGGCAGGTAGGGCTGCGGCTGAGGTGGTGGCCCCTGCCTAGCCTGGAAGGGCTGCCTCTGCTGAAAACCACCCGCTGGTGCTGGGAAACCAGGTGGTTTAGTGGTGTTGTTACCCCAAGCGAAGTTGGGATGCTGGCGCCACCCTTCGTTGTATGTATTGTTTTATGGGTCAAGGCTCCGAGCATTGGCGATGAAGTCCACCTGCTCTTCGGGAGTAGAAGACTCCCTCATAGCCTGACAGTCCTCCACCAGATGATTCGGGCTCTCACACCACTGACACTGAGCTACTGGAGGCGTAGCTGTACCTCGGCCCGGAATAAGACTGTTAGGCTGCTTCAATGTCTGCACCAACTCAGCCACCTGCTGCTCTAACCCGGACATGGCCTCCATAGCGTGCACACCACGGTCCCGGGAATTTCTGCCTCTGTTGTTCTGTCCCCAGGAATGATCTCGGGCAGCCAAGGTACTAATCATCTGGTTCAGCTCGGGTGGAGTCTTAGTGAGAATATCCCCTCCTGGGCATAGAGACTCAATCACCCTCTGACTGTCCGGGGAGAGAGCACTGTAGAAGTTCCCCACTGTGAATGCATCACTGAAGCCATGATGGGGACACTGCCATAAATATCCCATGTACCGCTCCCATGCATCACGAAGTGATTCGTCTGGCTCTTGGCGGAAGTGAGTGATCTCCCGCTGAATCTCTGTGGTCTTCGATGTCGGATAGTACCTGTGCACGAACTTGTCTGCCAGATCGTCCCAAGAAGTGATGGACAATGGGGGCTGGGTCTCCAACCACCTCTTAGCATTCCCCGCCAGAGAATGGGGGAAGAGGTGAAGGCGGATTGCGTCATCCGAGACACCGTTCAGTTTGAACCTGTTCGTCAGCTGCAGAAAACGGGAAAGATGCACCCTTGCCTCCTCATCCTTCAAGCCATGGAACTGGATGGAGGATGTAATCAGTTGAATCCAGCATGGCTTGATCTCAAAATTGTTCGCTGGAATAGGCGGATAGAGGATGACCGGGCGGATGTCAGCAATCCGTGGAGTGTAGTAGTACTCCAAGGTGGGACCCTGCGGTGGTGCCTGTGGTCTGGGGTCGTTCCCCAAGAGCTGATTCACCGGAGGTGGGTTGTGGTCGCCTTCCATCTCGTACTCGTCCTCGGACTCGCTGCTCAAATGGCTGTCTATGCGCTCCACCGTAGCTAGTCTAGCTCGCTGTTGTCTCCTAAGTTGGTGGCAGGTGCGTTCAATCTCTGGATCCAACGGCAGTAAACCTCCCGACTGGCTACGGGTCATGCACTATCTGCACACAATCAAGCAATGCAAACCCGTGAAGGCACAAGTGGGAAAGAACAAACACTCAATTCGAAAATGAAAATGCTAAAGTAACAGAAATCACTTTTCTTCAACAACCTAGCCGTCCCCGGCAACGGCGCCAAAAACTTGACTCACTCCTACTGTCACTCTAGAAAATGGCCAAGTGTAACCACTTCCTAAGCGTAGTATAGCGGGTTTGGGTTTTAATGTCAATCCGGGTCCTAGATTTGTTGGCTACTCGGTGAATTCTTGTTATCTAGCAATGAAACTTTAGTGCAAGTCCAAATTAACAAACAAACAAAGCAAGTTAAACGGTTGTTTTCAAGTCGAGAGAGGTCACCCGGATATGGTTCCCCCTAGACTGCAGTTAAGCCGGATTGCAATTTACCAAGTTCAGTTTTCATGAAAATTATACTGCGGAAGGTTCTTAAACAGTCTGAAGTCTTGACTAAAGTTCTCCAGACCCTCTCAATCTGAGTCTCCAGCGGGCGACTAACCTCCATCGGAGTAAACAGATTGAGGCCCTAACGAACCAAACCTCCACTACCGAAGTAAATTTGGTACAGAATAATGAATTGGCTCCTCGACTAAAGTCGCCAGTTCACTACCTTCAACTAAGGGTGCTCTATCAACCTAGGCAGATATTCTCTTTCTAGGTTAAAGCAGAAACAACAGGAATTTGATCAGGATTCAAGTCATTCAATCATTCAAACCTCAATCGAATATAATCAATTCATAAACTCTGTACTTGGGTTCATACAATCAGACCTAACATACAAATCTAGGGTTCCCCATACCCAGATGAATGGGGAAACTACTCCATGGAGAGAGAAGCAAAAGCAAATTCAGACGCGGAAATCATACTGTGAAGAATGAGTTTCTACTCCTGGTCGTCGATCGGCACTTCTCCAAGCTCAAGCCGGGCTCCAATGGTGATGAAGATCAAGCTATGGCACTTGGGAACTCTGGTTCGTTGCTTTCTCTCTAGGAATCGCTCTGTCTCTCTAAAACTCGGAACCCTTGATTTTCAGCCTTCTTTTCCCTTAAAACTGCTGCCTGTCGCGATACCCGGTCGAAATATCCGGTCGGGTATTTTGGGTCTCGACCGGGTATAATTGAAGCGCACCGTTTCGGCCTCAGGGGAAATCCCCGGTCTCTTCCAATAATCCCCGACCGGGGATTTTTGCCTCCTGCCCGGGCCCCCTTCTGTTTCTCACGGACGCCCAAAGCCAAAAATCCCCGACCATGGCCAGATAATACCCGGTCGGGTATTTCTGCTCATGGCCGGGTATTTTGGCTCTCCAGCACACTTCAAGCCTCACTTGCTCCTTTCGACCCGAATCTCGTTCCTTTGCCTCGATTCCAACGCCAAGTCCTGAAATATGACATAAACGTACAACCTCGCGTGAAATCGGCTTAAAACACGAGAATCAACATCTCAAACGGCTCCAGAATAGGGGTGAAAACATGTGTAATTATTGGTCTATCAGTACCCATAACAATGAAACTTGGAACATAAAATTGTTGTTCCAATTAGTTTGGCTACTTCCCTCTCCAATAAATAACAAAACTTGTAAATCCATTCCTGCGCAAAATGCAAACATTAACCGGACAGAAATTCCAATTCGAAATAGTATTCTGTTTGGCAAATAAAGCTGTCAATTTTTTGAAGAAAAAAAAACTATTCATAGTTTGCATTCATAATATCTACGAAGGACTGGAAGGAGTGGTAGTGCCAACATCCAGGAAAGTCAAATCTCCATAATCGAAAGCATCATCATTTATATTTTCATCTGGAGCAAATAGTTGGTCAGTTTCCCCATCTTCAGCTGGTGGATCAGTATCCTCCGCAAGCTCCTTGAGCTTGTGCAGATCAATCGGCAACAAATCTTGAGCTTCCATGGTTTTGAATTTCTCCATCATCAAGCTATTCATTTTCACATAAACAAGATCATCCAACATTGTAGCAGCCAATTTATTTCTCTTCTTTGTTTGTGTATCTTTGAATGCACTCCAATTTCGTTCACATGCTGAAGAACTACATGGTTGACTCAAGATTCGGATATCATACTTCTTCAAAACGGGGAGAGAATCTCCATAATAATCCCACCAAACACTTGGAAAAAGAAACCCACACAAAACTAAATGTTTTCAGAATAGAGGTAGTCGTTAATCATGAAAATAAACAAATTCAGTTAAACTTACATGGATGAGATGTCTCCAACATTGTTTTAGAGGTAGGAGAAAATAAAGTTGAAACTTTCATCTGGTAGAGTTGAATTTCTTTCATAAAGTCAGGTTTCTCCTCCTCCTTCACCAAGTTCTCATGCATGAAACTAATTCCTTCTTTCGTCTCTCGATCTTCCCTGAAATTGCTACTACACATATATGCAGGATTAAGAAAAGCAGAGGCTGCATGTATTGGATGAACGATATTCTTCCTTCTTCTTTGCTCAAATAATTCCCAAAATTTCCCGTATTTCTCCTTGTCATTTTTAGAACGCTGCTTGATTGCATCTTTGGCTAGTTCCATTGCTTCATACAAATATCCTGCCGTAGAGCCATCACCATCTACCAAACGAAGAACACGAATCAGGCTCCAAAACAATCAACACTTCTGATCCTTGAGTCCAAAACTCTGGATTTTGAATTATACTAGTAACCTTTTTGCTGCTTCTTTCTTGCTATGATCTAGACCTCTCCAATCAGCAGATGCAACTAATAAACGCAATTCATTCTCCACATCAAAGATAGATTGCAACATCAAATAGTTCGAAGCAAACCTGGTTGCACATGGACGCTTCGACTCCTTCCCATTTGTAGCTTGCCTCATGAGTGATAATACAATAGTGTGCTTTTACATATAAGTAACGATAGACTTTGCATGATCAAAGATATCATGAACCCACTAAACATTATCATATATATCACTGAGGAGAAGTTGCAGTCCATGAGCAGCACATCCTATTTTGTACATATGTGGATACTTTCCGATAAGCATATCACCAGCTGACTCAAAATTTGAAGCATTATCAGTGATGAACTCGACCACATGATGAGCTCCAATATTATCGATAACAGAAGACATAATATCTTTGAGGAATAGGCCTGTCTTTTTATCTTGAGAAATATCAAAAGAATTTAAGAATACTGCTCCTCCTGGTGAACATGCAATAATGTTGATAAAAGACCTTTGCTTCATATCAGACCATATATCTGACATCAATGTACACCCAGAAGTCTCCCATGTTTGCCTCACATTTGTGACATACTCTTCCACTCCTTTTCTATAGTCAAGAATCAATTTTGCACGAAGAGTTGAATAGCTCGGCAATTTATAACCAGGACCATACTCAGCAACACCTCTCACAAAATCAATAAAGCTAGGAGTTTGAATAACATTAAAGGAAACGTTATTCAAAACTACATGTCTAGCTAGCAAATTATCAACACCATCTTTATCTTTTTTCTTAAACATACTTGGAACAGAGGGTTGTTGCAATCCCGTTGAAGTGGCAGCAGTAGAGGAATGATCGATGTTCGATCCCACATCATATTTAGCTTTCTTTTTTGAGCCATTGATAGCTAAATATGCTTCTGCTTGAACATTTTTTGGTACTTTTGTACAGATTTCTACATCACGTCCTTTAATTCCAGAAAGTTGTGACTTGATTCTAGGGACACCTCCAGGAAAATCACGTTCACAAAACTTGCACTTAAATCTTCCATTCAGTTGATCAGCATAATCCCAAAACTTGTCTTTTTTCGTACCATCCTCTAATAACCTGGATACAAATACAATACTTTATATTATACTTATTAAGTTTAACAATCCATTGCATGAGCTAGACTTAACCAATTGAAAAGTAGACGAAGTACTAATTGACTTACATATCTGACAAAGTGACAATTGACTTACATGCATGCTACCACACAACCAACTGTTTCTATCTTTTAATTTGAAAGAATGAAATTTAATTCCCAATACAAATCACAGCCAATTGGGAAATCTCCCAATCCCAAATTGAGACCCCAATCTAACAGCCACGTAGAATATGATGCATCCAAATTAAGAAATAAAAAATGATATATAGCAACACTCTAAGTCCAGTCACAATATATAACTACATAACTATATATATAGCTTGATAAAGGTCAACCACCGCCGGCAGCCACAACTCAATGACTCACAATATATATCATACAAGAAAAAAGAAGAAGAAGAAAAGAGAACTCAAAATAGCAACAGCAGTTCACCTTTGAGAATACACTTTATAAGTATCTAGTAAGTATGAACATCTATCTTTCGTCGACGTCTAGAATTGCTGCAAGGATGAAAGAGACGGGAAGATGAGTATGGTTACGTTGGACTTGGACTTGGACGACACAACACTCAGAATAGATGGTGGCGGCAAAGAAAAAAAGTTGCAGGGAAGCCTAAAACTGGTCGGCTGTGTTCGGCATCCATCGTACTTTTGTTTATATAGGTCGGTGGGATCCGTTTATTTGCTGTATATATGGAAAGGGCTAAATATATCTGTATAATACGGATTGCATGTATAAATTACGTAAAACGCAATAAATTACGGGGAAAACGGGGTTACGCATACTATACGCGTTTTTTTGCCGTTTTTACTAACTATGCTTCTAACAACCATACCAAGCACAAGGTGGTCAAGGGTTCAACAACAATGACAAGTCGACAAGTTTTCTAAACTTGAAGATCTAGTCACCACTTTTGTGAGCACAAGCTCTCAGAAGTTCGATAAGGTTGAGCAATTCATGGATGTGGCAACCTCCAAGTTTACATCGATTGAGGCGGGACTCCAAAGTCACCAAGCAAATCTCCAGAATTTGGAAAAGCAAATTCGAAATCTTGCCGGGATCCTCACCGAGAGATCAAAGGGAGCCCTACCCTCACAAACCGTTGCAAACCCCAAGGATCATGCCGGGGTGAATGCAATTCAATTGAGAAGTGGGAAGGTGACTCCGGAGGTAGTTGTCAAAGAAGTGAACCAGAATAAATACCCTCTACAAGAGTGTGGAGAATAAGAAACATCGTGAGAAAAGAGAGGTGTGGCGAGGAAGGCATCGCCAACGCCGCCTCTGTGGCTGAGTACACTCCACCCTTATCTTTCCCCACGAGGGTGCTTAAGGAAAGATTGGAAGCGGAATGTGTAGGTTTCATGAAGATGCTCAGGAAATCCACCTCAACATTCCCTTCCTTGAAGCGATGGCCCACATGCCAAAGTATTCGAAATACCTCAATGGGCTTCTCTCCAAGAAGCCGAAGTTTGAAGACCTCGCCAATGTCACCCTAGACAAGGAGTGCTCAACCTTCATCCTCAATAAGTTGCCCAAGAAGTAACCCGATCCAGGTAGTTTCACCATACCTCTTTGCATCGGTACTCATCACATAGAAAATTCCTTGGCGGGCTTAGGGGCGAGCATAAATGTGACGCCTATAATGCATGCCTCGGTTTAGCAATCATGAGCGTGGTCTACAACCATATTTGCGTACCCTTACGGTTAGCGATCACCTTGCCCATAACAATCATTTCAGTTCACATACCATGGTAGTAGTTAGGGGGAAGCGACACCCGAGTGATCATTCCACAAAAGAGCATTCAAAACCATTCACCTTTGTCTTGTTTTAATTTAATTATCAAAATTTTCAACCAAAACTTTATTGCTAGATAATGATTCAAATGACTGAAGTAGGGGTAGACGGACCGGACCGGGTTGATATTTAAACATACTTATCATGTACTGCACCCGACTAAGGTTTATACTTGGACCTTATGGGGGAAATTATTGTGGTATTCGGGACGAGTCAATGGTGGTGTTTAATTTAAGAATTGATGTATTTTTCATGGTGATTGTGCATTGTATGTGCTTGGCAATCTATTTTGCTATTCTAACCGAGCTTAGAGATAATCCCCCTTATCTTAAGAGGCTCAAATTGAGTTGGGTTTTCTTAGGCATTCCATGCCTCCTAACTAGGTTAATGAAGGGAAAACCTCTAAACTTGAATTAGACACCTAGGTTAATTGTGATTATGTCGTCCAAACCTTGGTTGGAGGGAGAAGGTAAGTCAACTCTCAATTGTTTGTGCCAAGAGGGCTACAATTGTAGCCTATAATGCTTTCCTTGGGCTAGCAATTGAGATGATGGTTTATAACCATTTTTGTACCTCATACGGGTCACTATTGCCTTGTCACACACTGATTCATTCGATCCCAAGGTTCATGGTAGTTAGTTAGGGGAAGCAACTCCCGAGTGAAGCTTCTCACCAAGAGCTTTCCACCCTTTTACTTTTCAAGTCTTGCTTTTAAATAGTAGATCATAGAGATTTCAACAAACAACATTCCGCTAGATAATGTTTCAACCAATTGAAGTAGGGGTACATGGGTCGGCCTGGGTTGATATTTAAACATACTTGCCCTATATTGCACCCATTTAAGGTTTATACTTGGGCCTTAGGTGAGATTTTATTGTGATATTCGGAGCGAGTTAGTTACATGATCCATTGATTTGCATCCCCATCCATATGATATGTGGCCAATGCGACCTTATGCTCTTCCAAAACACATTGTTACTTAAAGTATTTCTCAACGCAAGAAGTCCATCCTGACGGCTCCTCTTGCCCATTAAATATGAGAAATTCATGGGGAGAAATATAACCATGGAACATAGCTTGGTTATGATCTTCGTATTAGCATACTTGTCCCTCATATCGTCTGCCATAATGACTCGGCATCCCTGATGGCACATAGAAATTATTATTTTAGGGGCAGCGTCTAAGGTTAAACCCAGAAGGGGAAGAATCGGCGGCCAAGGGGTATTTTCTGGAAATCATTGATGAGCTAGGAGGCACTAGTTCATTATTTCATAGAAGATTCTTCCCTTAATGGAGAAATGAAGAACTAAGGGATCAGATTGCTCGCTTCCAATAACATAATTCAGAGTTATTGTACAAAGCACGAGAGCAATTCAAAGAGCTCATTCATTCTTACCCTCATCATGGCTTTGAGAAGAAACAATTGGTGGGCATCTTTAGCAAAGGTTTCAACCTAACCACCACAGTGATGGTGAATCAAGTTGTCGAAGGTGATGTAACACAAATGACCGCCCCTCGAGCTCTATAGCACTTTGTGTCTATGGATTACGAGTCACGAAACTGGCCTAAGAGGCTTCTATGACCATCAAAATTGTGCAACAATCAGATGAACCCTACGTCGATCTCTTACAACAATTAGCAGAGATAACCATTGAGGTAAACACATTAAAGCTGAAATAGAACCCGACCGCACATAACTATTTGTCTGTTAATGCTGCGACAAAGATGATCTTATGGATCAAATTGTGGGACTATAGGCAAATTCCAAATAGAGAAGGTCAATTTTCTTCATAGTTACTAACCTCAAAGTTGAGATTTCAATGGCAATAGCTATGGGTACTATAACACTCGACCTCTTTATCCATCTTTCGCCTATAGGAGCTATGATAATCGTATGGACAAAGATTAGAGAG